ATCATTCTAAATTATTTAAACTAATAATCACAAATTGAAACGGAACTAATATTTGCTTTCTATTGATTTGTATTCGAAACCTAGTTGTTTTGCTCTAATGATTAAAATTTTATGTTTCATCAATTAGTTTGTTTTATAATTTGCAGGAAACAAAAATAACTACATGAGTTATACTAGTTCGTGTATAGTTAGAAAAGATGCAAGTAATAGCGGTAAAAGAAAAACGATACCGTTTTGATACAACCAAATTTTTATTCATTTTGTATAATGGAAACCAACAACCAAACCGCAAGTGTATATAATTGAAAACATGATACTAAATTGTTGGATGAAATAAAATAAAACAAATGAGAACTTTGAAGGCGGTGCTGAATAATGGGGGAAACGAAACAACGACATGGTCTTTTATTTAATTAGAAGAATAAAAAAAAAAAAAAGTGAATGAGTCCAAATGACGTAATGGACAAAACCAGCTAAACCGGTGGAGATTGGGTTATAACATGATCATGGATTGGGATTTTGCGGTCCTTGTAAGATACTCCCTGGCTTGTAAGCACCTCAAATTCCAAAGCTTTATCATTATTCAAAACCTGCCTTCTCAATTCAACACAACCACAGTAATCAACTAAGTACTTTGTTGCGTCTTTGAAGTACTTGTAAAGTGTGGCACTTACTCCTCCCCCTGCAAGATTAAAAAAAAATGTTGTTGGCGATTACAATTTGATTTAAAACTAAAAAAGCCATAATGATTTTTTTTTTTTTTTGNTTACAATGGGTGATTAAGAGCAAATTCTCAGAAGGATATTTGTCTGCAAGACCCTTCAATGTATTGGCATATCGATCCTTGAAGCCTTGCGCAGATTCTCCCCATTTTGGCAACTAAAACAAAACCAACATGAAAATTTATATAATCAAAGATTTATACTCAAATATACGAAGAAGAATATAAAGAAATTAGAAAAACTCTAAAATAAAGCACCTCTTTATAAACCATATCCACATTATGATCCACCATTCCCTCAGGAAACATAGCTTCAAGCTCTGAAATCTTGAAATCAAATTTCCCATCTTTGGGAGCAATCTCATGCTTAATAAATGTTGTGCTCAGTACCTCGCACAAGCCGAATTCAATAGAAACCTGAAAACCAAACGAGACAAGGCACAAGCATCTCAAATAATGCTTCAATCAAAATGATTTGTTTCAACATAGATATTATTAATCAATAAATCTTTCAAATTTTTTTTTTAAATTTACACGTACTATATATGTGTGTGTATATTTCTTTCTTGGACAATTCTCAAAAATGACACAAACTTCGTTCTACCTGCTTCAAC